CCCGTACACATGCGAGCGAGCAAAGCCCGTGATTTTGAGGTTTGTGTCACTGATGCCTGCAACACCACCGAAAAGGGCTGCCAGCAGTGCATCGCTGCCAGGCTTGCTCTCGGACTGACCTGCCGTGCATCAGCTGCAATCACTTTCGTCCACATGCAAAACTGGATCCTTGCGGAACTCTGCGAATTGCCGACTACCCCCAAACTGAGAGACAACACGGTGATGATTCGGGCATCCTAGCGACGAAGCTCGATCTCGACGACTGATCTGCAATTATCTGCAGCATGCAGCCAGTCTGCTAGCGGCAGCTTCTGTCTGCTTGGTGGGCGCATCCAACTTTATGCTCACTCCGCCGGCTCGCGCCTGAGCCAAGTGGATATGCCGAATGCAAGCTACGAGGGTACCTACCAGACGCTAATGCCACGGCACCTGGATATCTGTCTCACCACCTCGTGCAGTTCGAGCAATCTGCGAGAAAGCAGTGGATGCCTCACAGGCGACAATTTGTGCCGACACGTCAGAAAAGACACGTCCGCACCACCACCACCACCACCACCATCATCATCACCGCCGAGGCCAAAGCGGCAGCTGCTGCCAGTGCAGCTACAAGCGCGTAACCTGAAGTGTGTGCCATGATGTGGAGCAGACATGCAGCTTGACCGTGATCATGCACTGCAATGAACCCTGTCTTGAGATGTGTCTTGAGCAATGGCCGGATTGACATGTGCAGGCTCCAATCGCGTTCAAGGTGCCCAGAACCGAGCGCATCGCGTTTGTCTGGAAAGCTAGCTACAGCCTTGAACTGGCTTGAAAGCAAATGCTCCAAACAAACATGTTCAAGCTCTCAATGGAGCTCTTCCACACTTCAGAATCGTGCGACCTGCCCATGCTTAGTCGTCCAGTGCTCCTGCACACACTTACAAACGCGAGAGACACCCCAATTTGCCTGGAGCAACCACAGTAGTGGAAGATCCGTGTGCGGAAAGCGCGCTTAGTTGTAACATTGTTGTCTAACTATCTTCGTCACCATCTATAAATCACTATCGCTCAGTCAATCTCACTGACAAGCTGGAGCATGAGCTTGCGAGAATCTGTCTACGGAATGTAAAATGGGCGAACAAGCCTCGGCCAGTAGGATGCTGCCGGAGACTATCTCCTCAGGACGTCAATGGTTCAGCCACAGACCATCTTCAGTCTGGGAATCTGGGATCCTGGTAGTTCTCCATGTGTTCACCATTGCTTCCTTCGGGCCAAAAGCTCGCAGCAAGTAGCCATCTCTTCAAAGCTAGACCGTTCACTTCGTCTCGGACGCCTTTGTTGACCAAGAAGCCTCCATCTGCCATCACCTGAATGGATCAGCCGCTGCTTGGACCCAGACACCGCATCACGAAATGAACACACACAGACAGACAGACACACATTTCATGCACCCTGCCCTCGCGTGACAAGGATTGCGACGGACACGTAGCTGCTTGGTGGGGTGAGAAAGCAGCTGCAAATGGCAGTCTCGATCACACACTTCGCAGGTCATGTTCCACCCCGTAACAGCGGCTTCTTGCTCCCAGTGGTCCTGCCATACTCGTACCATGTGGAATCTGAGCGTCGTCATCGGCCGTGCAACGTTGCTTCTGTACAGTGCTTGCTGGGACGAGCTTTCATGTAACGAGGTGCGGCGCGACTAAATCGGATCTGGTTTTGCAGAAGCGACAAGAAACGCCTCCGGCCTCTCGCTCTTCTGGTCTAGAATCCTGGAATCTTTCCTCTTGTTTCCTGACCTCCCATACCCTGCCTTCGCTGCTGAGAGCGTGTCTGCCCCTGCCCTCCCTCTTCTAGAAGCAGGTGTGTGAAGGACTTTCAGGCTTCTGAGCTTGGGACAAGATCCGCTTCTCGTCTAACTTCGGCGGCAGCGTGAGCCACGTTGCTCGGCAGGCACACCTTAGATTGAAATCCATCCAAGGCTCTGCCAAAATGACCCAGAAGGGATCCGACATTCCCGCTCCCGTCAGCTCCCCAGAGCTCAACGAAATTCTCGCCTTGCAAGCAGGCACACGTCGACTTCAGCCACTTCCAGCCAGGACAGCTCTTCATCAATCGCGTAGCTTGGGCACCGAACGCTTCGCCAAGTCCTGCGGACGTGAAGAGACAGAAATGCGAGCACACTTCCACTAGAAGATTTCAGGCCTGCCCTGAATTTCTAGCTGCCGGTTTTGGCTGGGTGAAGTCCCGACGAGGCGACAGGCGCCGTGGGAAAAGACGCTTGGCCGCCAAAAGGCGCGCGTCGATTCGCAACGCGCTTCGATTCGGTCTGCTGCAAGAGCTTCGGCATGCTTCAGCAGGCAGCGCCCCAGCCTGGGGCGGGCAGTGCCCCCACCTCTCGACATCTCCGGGCCCTGCCCTGCGCAGGAGCATCGACTCGGCCGTTTGCGGCAGATGCTCTTTTGAAGTTCTCACGGATCCACCTCGCGGACTCCCTCCTCGCCTCAGAGGTCTTGGAGCTTCGATAGCTCCGCCTTTAGCAGCTCTTGCAGGGCGGTGTCTCGTGGTTCGCCAAGTACCCAGAACTCGGTGGCAACTGCCCGCTGCTCCAAGCGATCTACGACCACGCTGCACCACCCCAGTTCTGCTGCAAGAGCTCCGATCCTGATCTGTTTACAATCTCAGCTACATGTTTATCACTGCCTTGGTTCGGAGCTAGGCCTAGCTTGGGGCTGCGAAACATGTCTCAAAACATCGAGGGTCAGCAGCCGCAGCGGCGGCCATTGTTCCGGCTTCTTGTTCGAGCGCAGGTGTGCCAGGGTCACAGCGAGCACAGCTCCGCTTTCCAGCTGGCCACTGCGAAACAAGGCTTTCAAATCTTGGCCCGGGCTGGATCTATGCGGGGATGCAGCAAAAGTATTGTCAAGCTCCTCGAGCTCTTGTGGTGGCTTCCAACTTCCGTACAGGCACTCCGTGAAGTCGCAATACACGCAACTGAAGGGGCCATAGACGCGGTCTGTGCTTGAGTTCTGCATGATGAAGTCTTGAAGGCATAAGCCTTGCAGCACGGTCGCCTTACTTAAGCAGTTGCTGCCGAAAGGTGCATCACTGTCGTTCGGTACGATGATGCGGCTAGCACGAAATCCCACACCTTGAAGGGCCGTGCTGGAGGCCAGCGAGGCAGCATCCAGGACAAGAGCCCACGGGTCCTTTTTTGTGGCGCAAAGTGATTGTGCCAGTTCGGCCAAGCGTGTGTTTGCTGCCTTCTTCGAAGGTGACCGGGCTTTCACTGACCAGGGGAATGTCTCCATGCGGGACGCAAAACAACGCATCGAAGAAAGGGCAGAGCGAGCCATGTCTGCTACTCGGCACGAAAGACTGCAGCGTCATGAGATCATGCCAGAGACATGAAAGGAACGGAATGCTGGCATTCCAACATCTGTGGTGGAGTCCATAGCGGGTCAGCGGTTCACCCTTTCAACTCGATCCTTTGCGCTTGCAATCCCCCCTTGTCCTCGGGGAACCAGGTGCAGCTCAATGCGTTAGTGCCTTCGCGGAGGCTGAAGCCGAAGCCGCGGACCACACACTCAGCCTCGGCACCTGTGCAGGGATGTGAGGTCAACACGGCGTGACGGTCGCGTGGTGAAGCCCCGACCGAGCTTGAAGAAGTACTTGGACCATGCTCCAGGCGCTCCGCAAACATCTACGAAGACCAGCTGGCCCTCAGAATCACAACCAAGCCCCAGCTTACGCTCACGCAAGCTCAGCTCGCCTTGGCCTTGCAGCGATTCAGCACCTGCAACCCGACCGCCACACGGCATGCCTCTGCCGACAACGTCATCGGCCTTCAGCTTCCCAACTGCAGTGACGATCTCCTTTGAGCATCGCAGGATAGCGCAGTTCCGTCCTACCCTACAAGGCCTACAAGGCAAGCTTCCTCGATTTTGTCCCCTGATCTGTTGCCCAACGGCTGACGGTCAGAGCCCCGATGGCCGGCCTTGTTCGCAAGTGAAGCCGACAGAGCGTTGATCTAAAGAACAAGCCCTGGCCTCAGGATAGATCTCATCACGAGCCATCCAGTAGGCCTAACCAGGCCCAGATGGGACCATCAGACCGCCTGACATCAACTGAAACCGAGGTGGGCCTCTCTGTGACCTCCGTCGAAGAGAACGTCCATGCGTGACTTTTGCTTCCACAGCCTTATGGAACAAGGGCCAACGAGCACTGCAAGGCCGGCAAGGCTGGAGTCGGCACAGCCAAGCTGCATCTCTACCTCCTCGCGCGCGCAGTATCCGGCATCGGACCTGACAGGTAAACAAATCGAAGCGGTGGCGGCCGTGGTGCTGCGCGGAGACTCATTCATGCGTGCCATCAAGGGACATGCGCCGAGGGTCCTCCAGCCGGCCAAGCTTGACCGCAGCTTCCTCTACCAGTCATATTTCAATGACGAAATGGAGCACTCGCACCGCGTGCATGTCCCCGACCTCTTCTGCCGCAGCACCGGCTGCATGCGAAGGAACGGCAGCCAGACTGAAAACCTTGGCGGCAATCCTCTCACACACTCAACGTTATGTTCCCTTCTTGTCGTGTGCCATATGGAATTTCCAGGAGGCAGCAAATTTTGACCCGCTCGAGGATTCATTACGACCCTCAGAATTCAGAACCTGGATCTCGTCAAGCAGTCAAAACCGTCGCTTTGTCACCGACACACACTTCTGTCCGCCTTTTACAAACGCCTTGAGCTGAAGCTGTAAAGCCCATCTCTCGCACTGGCAATCGTCCAGGATGGCTGAGGGCCCTACCAATGTCTGCTCCTGTGGCCGCTGCCCCCCACATGCCTTCGTAATCTGACCCCAAATTCGTCCGTTCTCGAAACCCTGACATTCACCGACCTGCCTGATCGCCACCTGCTCCTGCGGCCATGCAGCAGCCCCAACAATGATGCAGGTCGTTCTAGCCATGAGGTGCTTGGTTCCTCTTTGAAGATAGGCTTTTAAGGTGTGCAAAGCTGTGATTGTTCACTTTGCGCTGGCTCTGGCCTACACTCTTTGCAGGCCTGTAGGACGTCCGTTTGCGACAGTATATGCAGTGACAAGCTCAAACAGCACAACTCATCACAACTTCATCTCTTACACTAGGATATGCGCCCATGGTGACTCTGAAGCCCGTGAGCCCC